CTTCTGGAATATTGATTAGTCTTGGCACAGTGAAAGCAGGGTCACTTCCTTTGTTTTTCCTTTTAGACCACTTTCACGCTTTGTCAGTTCAGCTTCGTTAGAAATGCAAAATCAGAACCCAGGAAGAACTGAAGGATGGCGAACACACGCACACAGAGCAGGGGAGGCTGGAGTGCATCTTCATTAGATATTCCAGACTGGAAATCTGAAAAGCCTAAACAAAATTGTGCGACGCTATTCCTGCACTTTTTAAAATAAGTGGTAAAATATGTGAGCATGCTAGTTTGTTCTAAAAAGAGACATGGTGTGAGGCTATCGCGTATTTTCCAATGCTTAAAAGCCAGTTATTCATGATCTACTCTTCCCAGGGTGGGGAGCCAGACATATCTTTCAGAAGCAACTGGAGCATTATCAAGAATAGAGAAAAACACAATCAGCTATAATTCTCTGTATGTTTCTTGTAGATATTCACAACACATGATGAGACTTGCCTCTTGTTTAACAATTCAAACTCACTGTTACTAAGCCCCATTCAGCCTGTTTCAATAGCATGGAATGAATGATGAAGGCAAAAGCACAAAACATCCACTTTTGAGAAATAAGTGGCCTTCAGGGCTTTTTTTAGCACTTAAAAGTTTGTATTATTGAAAATATATTTGCAGAGGAGAGTCAGGGAAATTCCCAAAGACCTTCTTTTGCTTTTTAGGGGAACACTTTTGTCTTAAATGTTGGTAAAGTCAGTTTAAAATATTCAATAATTATATTTCTGTGCATCTTTCATGAAATTTTAAGTGCATTTTCTTATAAGATGAACAAATACTGTAAGTAGAAATTTATATAACTTTATGCTAAACATAGAGTTTTGAAAGTTTGTTTATAGATGATGTGACTTTCAATAATTTTTTCCTGGAAAGTAATTTTAAGTGTAGAGAAATAATCTTGTGTACTAGAAACACAAAAATAATTAGATACAAAATGAAATTAAGAGCAGTGCTACTTCCGCACAGTCACAGTAATGGTTTTGATAAAGAGTTTTATAATTTAAATGTCCTTCAAATAGTGAGGTATTATGTAGAGAAAAATAATCTTACAGTATAACACAAACTCTCTTGTGATTTATCTCATTCTCATTTTTCGTGGTGCAGTTTCTAAATACTTTCACCATTTTGCCTGGCGATGGGAACTGACCTCTTAACTGACCTTTGGCCGTTAGCAATCTGCTTGTTTGATCTTTCTTTTTGGAGTATGGCATGCTTTCTGTGAAACCGCCCAGATAAGGACTTTATCCTGCCCTCTGTTTGTATGAATAGTAATGTTCCAGTTGCCTTCATGGGACAGGGGTCAGGCTCCAAATGAGGCGATCCAAAGGTGTTAAAAGCATTTAATGCTTTCATTAATAACTGAGTTTATGAGAAGTGAGGATAATCCTGTGAGGCAATTATCTATTCAGTGAGACAAAATGAAAATATACAATAAGCAATCATGCAGCTTAGCTTAACTTCAGCAGTGAGACTTTCATTAGATGTCAGTGAGCAGCAAACATCGTTACAGTGCTTAGAAAAACAGAATATTAAGAGCCTTTTGGTAACATGTTCTTGTTCAAAATTTTCTTCCTGTCTTTCTTCTTCTCTACTTCCTTTCCTAAAAGCCAGGTTTTTTGTTGATTTTAACTTTGGTGTTGAAATAAGGAAACTATACTATATAAAAAGTATTATCCTTTATATTACAATAAACTTGTATACCTGGATAGCAGTAAATGAGTCACAGTTCATAGTACAGTGTCACCCTGCAATACATGAAATTACAATGCACTGGAATATCCTTTTATATATACAATAGATTTAACAGATTTAGTATACAGTATTTAATACTTGGACTAAGACAAATTTAAAATGTTACTGGTTAAGTGCTTCTGTCTGTAATTTCCACCAGTATTATTAATTTCTAGGGAGCGTAGACATAAAACATAAACATTACTAGAAACATGGTAGACTGTAGACTGGATCAGCCAACCATAAGAGTATACAAAAGCATTGGTATATTTTGTAGAGTAACACAGAGCAGCGGTCATTGGTGTTAGCACCAATTTTACATTGACAAAATAGTTTCTACATGCTTCAGGGTTTTTTTTTTCATAGAAATCGACAAAGAATGACCTAAGGCCTCAATGAGCCTGTCTGTGTTGTCATATTAGCTCAGAACTCCAATTTATGCTTTGGGTTTCAGTTTCAGCCCCTCTTTGGCAATGCTCCAGGTGAAAGCTGGAAAGCAGGGAGATGCAAGTAGAGGGTAAGGACTGGCTTTAACTTGAACCTCACCCTCAGAGGCAGTGTGGATTCAGCCAGCTGAAATCATGTGTGGTGGAAAACTCAAACCCTGTTTGACTGTGGCTAACAGGGTCAGTCAAAGTAAACACACTTTGCATGTCAGCAAACGTATCTGAGTGCCTGTGTGAAACAAGTAAAAGTATTAGAGTGGAAGCTGCTGTTCAGACATAAAGTGTTGCTATTTTCAGCTGACTGAGAGCTACCAAGCAAAAACCGAGGGAAGTCAGTTGCAGCAAATGCAAGAGGTGGAAATGAAGCAACAAATTGTACAACCATTTCATTTCCCAGAGAGTAATAAATCTAATGTGAGAGTACATGGATCCCAGCTGAAATAAGCTTTTTAACATTCAAAGTAACCCAGTCTTCACATTAATAGATCAGCACTATAAATTAATACTGGCTGAATCTTTGAAGGTTTTGAGTATTGTGTAGAAGCTCAGTGAAGTATTGTTGAAACCACAACAGCGAAAATGGAATAAAATTCTTGTGAATGAATATGTTTATTCATGGTAAATGGTATGTTGGTATGTCCCCAGTCTTCAAGCAAGTTGGACAAAATAAGAATACACATGACTCCCTTGCAAGCTCCAATGCAGTTTAGAACTGTTAATTACCATTATACCCTATTGTACCAATGAAGAAACTGAGTCTCCAAGAGGTCAAATTTAATCCATGCAAGTTAGCAAGTAGTTGGCAGAGCTAAGACGCAGCCTTAGGCTCCTGAATATTTGCATAGCACCATGGTATGTTTTTTTTCCTGAGATACTTCGTTGGCCCTTGCTTTTTTAAGCATGCTAAAATGAGTACGAGAAATTGAGGTTTGGTGCTTGTTTCTTTTCAAATCTTTTTATTAACGTGGGATTTGACAATTAGCTCAGTTTTGGCCAGCCAACAGTGAAAAATATACTTCATTATTTATTAAGATATGATGCAATGAAAGTTAGCACATTGCTTTATTGAAGACAGTGAGAAGAGATAGTGCGCTGCAATTTATATACCTGCATGTGCTCTACACACATAAAAAAAGACATAGGCTATGTTCTGTTAGCAAATCTGAAGAGCTGCAGGAAAATATCTGTAGATCCATAGTTGGTATTGAGGATGTGGCATTTGCAGTGTACACACTGCAGGAGCGTTATTTTGGATTAGTTCTAACCTTGCTTTGTGGCCCAAACACCCATTGCTGCATAGACTGTATGATCTGGTTTTGTTTCTCCTAAAGGAATCCAGTTCACACCTTCTAAGACCACTCCATGATATGAATCAAAGCATGTTGCTGTTGGTCACTTTTAGTGGGAAATGCCCTCTATCGGTTATGCTGAGCTTGAGTTTCTTTTTTGATACATTGCAAATCATTGGTCAAGCTCAGTTATCAATAAAAATTATGTTGTAAAATGTTCTGTTGATGGTAAAGATTATTATTATTATAAAATGCTACTATTCCATCAAAAGAATATTTCAAAAGCAAAGTGTTTTGCTTGAGACTAGGCAGAATGATTGGTAGTAATGGCCAATCTGATCAGCAAGACTTGGATTTTCAGTGAACTGTTTCTACATTTCTATTTAGTGTCCCATTATAATCTTAACATTACTCACTCAAACCAGCCTAAAAATCTTCTTGGTCATTTTTTTCCTACATTTTGAGGTGTTGTGCCATGAGAATAATTGTGAGTTTATGCTTTTGAGCTCTGACAGTTGTCAGTCAGAAAGTTGTACAACAAAAACACGG